TTCTATTTTGTTAATTTGATGAATGGTTTATTGTTTGCTTGTTGTTAACTTGTGATTATATTAGTTGCTAGTCTATCATATTAGCTACATATCAGTTGCTTGAATTTTCATTACTATCTTTTTATTAGTTGCTACATCAGATTGGTTGTCTCACCATCAAAGTTATCAAGTTGTAGCATGTTTAGAAAGTTTTTTTAGAACTCAAGGATGCAACTGTACGACCTAATTAGAACATTGCATGTACAAGCGAGATCATTAGTACTAGATTTGATGAGATTTATGGAAGTTTAGCCTCAACTAGGTAGACTTCTGAATCATCTTGGCTTAAGGCTTCTATATGGTGTTCACTCTCCAAGAACTTTCCTAGTTTCCCTTTGCAGGATATGTCTTAATTAAATGCTTTTATTGCCCCTCTGTAGCTTTATTATTTACTTATTTATACACTTTTTTTTTCTTTTCACTCCATTGTGGAGTTTGCATCTTTTGTGCATTAGTTTCTTTTCATTACATCAATGGAAAGTTTCGTTTCTGTTAAAAAGACTTGTAAAATAATCCTGGCTTATGTTATTCCTTGCAAGGAGAGAAGCAATTCTATTAATGAGCTTTGGCTTGGGTAGGAAGAAATCTTATGGTTTTGTACGTTCATCTATTGTCATATGGTTTGGGTTTTTTTTTTCTTTTGTAAAGTTTAATGTCTTTTGGATGGGCTTTCATTGTATTGTATTGTAATTCTGGTTGCGCTATGTGTGTGTGCATTTCGTTTCTTTTGCAAAGTTTAATGTCTTTTTTATGGGCTTTCATTGTATTGTATTGTAATTGTGGTTGCGCTATGTTTTTGCATCTAGTACAGTTCGTTTGTTAGAATGCTCATATTTCCTAAAACAAATCCTAATATAAATATGTGCAGGTTAGGCTATCAATATTTGGAAGAGACTTCACTGTCACTTTGATTTCCAGGCGTTCTCGACATTTTGCAGGAACACGGTATAGTTTTGCTTGAACTTCTCATTTATATATGCATATACATACATATACATTCCCAACAAAGAGATAACAATTGAAAACAACAACCGGCCAAAGTATGGCCCCAGCCAACAACCTAAAGGACTAAGATACAGGAGTCCCTTATTCACAAAAGATAATGGGAGGGTTATACAAAAGCACTCCAATCTAAATCGAGGGTATAGCTGGTGTAGTTACAAAATAACTTGAGAAAGACACTACTTTTTTTTTTTTTTTCTTTTGGGAATAAGATGTTTCTCATTGATAGATGGAAATACAAAACGTTTGAGAAAAAAACCTCCTAAAAGGAGGTAAAAAAACAAAAAACCAACCAAATAAAATGGGCTAAATAAATATTATCATTAAAGGATATTATTTAAGGGAGATCTTCCATTTGAAAAGGTTGCTAGCAACTGGTTTCAAAATCAAGAACTCGGGAAGTTTGAGATACTTTCTAGGAATAGAAGTGGCAAGATACAAGGACATTTTTAGTGGTTAAAGTATTGATTCTATTGGATAAAAAAGTTTTACCCTGGGTTCTTGTGTTGAGTGGTAAGCGGAAACTTTTTTGCGAGTTTCATTTGCTTATTGAAACATAGTCCAGCAAGAAACATTGTAATACGGGTTATTTAGAGGGTTACCATGGGTAGGTCTTGATCAAGAACTTGCTACTAGGAGATATTTGTTTGGTCATGAGGATATTTCTCCTTTGGATCCTACTAACATTATCCAAGGTGAATTGTCACTAAGTGATTTCACTAACCAGGTTATGAATGATGAGGGTGTCCTTGTCCCAAATGATGAGAGAAAAGGACGATATTTTCTTTAAGTCTGCAATTTATGATATTGTCTATTAAAGTGTTTAAAGAATCTTCAAAGGAAGTTGAGGCGATGCTGCGACCCAGCAAGAGACGGAGGAACCTGATTTGTTGGCAGAGGAAAATAGAACTGTTCCAAAGGAATCATTGTTTGGAGGTTAAAAATGATCTCTCAGTGTGATTGTTGACACTGGATCTTCTATAATAGAGAAGGAATTTGTTATTGAATCAAAATTTGATATGAATAATGCAAATATTTTGTACAATGAAGCACTTTTAAGGGAATCATAGAGGTTAAATGAATTGCCTTCATCCCATGGATTCGTTAGTTGTAATTCAAAGTCTTTTCTTTTGCCCTTCCCTTCTTAAATATAGTATCAAAGAAGGAAAAAATCGTCTTGTGAACCCTGTACAAAATTTTACATCCGGAAAAAAGACTGTTCCTTTGGATTCTCAAGATCCAAATGCGTCCCTACTCATTGGTGATATCAATGAGGAAGCTTGTGCAAATTTACTGGTTCATACAGTCAACTCAAAGAATGAAGATCTTCCAAAGGATTCATCACAGACCCTAATTGGGAATTGCTGTAATATTGGGCCCAGTGGTACACGATAAGTGTTTGATATATTTGAAAACAAACTCACCACACAACATGACTCTTCTCCCTCTATTGAGGTCTCAAATTGTGGGTCTGATGTTAGTGTAAGTAGTGTGGAACTTGACTTTCAGCATCATAGCTGCCTTTGTGAAGAAGATATAGTTGAAGATTCTGTTTTAGATGACTTAAAAACTCTTTCCAGACACACTTATCAAGTATGACTGCTCTATTTCTACAATTTCAGATAAAATTCAACCATCAAGTAGAGGCATTCTGATACTGTAAAAGTTTTCCTCTCTAATCAAGGCGGGTAGTCTGCAGTTTAAAGAGATTCCCATTTTTTTCCCCGAGGTGTAGACAAAAAACCTTAATTATTTTTGTTGTTTTTTATATTCCAATGTTGAAAATCTCCTGGAATACAAGAAGATTGGAGTGATCCAAAAGAACAAGTTATGTAGATTGAGTTTTATTTTGTTAGGGTCGATTTTGGAGATTTTCTTTAGCTTCTTCTGTCAGCGCCTCCATCTTTTTGGCGTTGGTGGTGTAGTTGATTGGAATGGTGTCTTCATTTCATTTGTTTGAGAATTTGAGTGGAGTTAGAATCTTTATTGTGACAGTTGTTTCTCTTGGTTATGTTTATTTTGAGGAAGAGGAATCCATCTTATGTGCTTTTCAGTTGTTTGGGGAGATCCAAATGGTTCTAGCTTGGTTTTGTCCTGCTTTTGGCTTGATTAAAGTCATCCTTTTGGTTTAGCCTTTGACCTGAAGTTTGTGAAGGCTTTTTCTCAGAATGGATAAGCATGGTGGTGGTTTTGATTCTTTTTCTCTGCGAAGGCCTGGATTGTTGGGATTCGATTGTAGTTCTTCCTTTGTTGATGATTTATGCTGGACACACAATTTTCGAATCTGAAGTCTTTGATTCCCAACCTCAAATTGACTGTTTAGATTAGGATCGTGTCTCATGAAAAGTTTGGTTTCTTCCAGCTTGACTCAAGGCTTCATCATGGTGCTCTCTTCCCAAATCTTTTGCTGGTTTCTCTTTATATGATATATGTCTTATCTGAAATGCCTTAATTTTTCCGTTGTAATCCTCTTACATCTTTTATTACTTTCTTTTGTCCTTTCCTTATTCACTTCTTTGTAGAGTTTGTATCGTTTGAGCGTTAGTCTTTTTTTAAATTTATCAGCGAAAGATGTCGTTTCTTGTTAAAAAAGATTCAAGGATAGTGTTGTCATTATCAATGAAAATACATTCTAGACTTGCTAAACGAGATGAGAAATCCTGGGTTCAGGTGTGGAACACTTATGAATCTAAATTTAGTCCAGAACATGCACTCTTAATTTAAAAGAAAGGGTTCAGAAACATAATATTTTGACTCAGAGGGAGAAATGCCAAAGTGAAGAGGCTACTCTACTTGACAAGGGCATGTATCAAAGACTTATGAAAAAGTTAATCTACATATCACATGCCAGATCAAAGATGCATACTTAGTTAGCATTGTAGCCAGTATTCAAACAGTCCAAATGAGCATCATTCTGGGGTTGAAAATAGGATTTTAAGATACTTAAGAAACACTCCAAGTCATGGGTTATTGTTAAAAAGAGCATCAATCAGACTGGTAAAATTCTGTACAATACTAGTTGGGTAGATAATTAGTTGACCATAGTTCTACATTTGGATATTGCTCCTACGTTTGGAGAAACTTTTAGTTATTTGTAGAAGCTTATAATTGACTACCAGCTTTAGAAATTTGGAAAGGAATGTGGATTCTGAAGCTTTTTTAGTTAAATGCTTGTAAGACCATCCTCTCTGATATTTGGTTGGAAAGAAATCAAAGGTTATTCGAAGATAAATTCCTTGGTGGATCGGATCATTTTAGCTTCTCTCTGGTGCTCTCTTTTAAAGGCTTGTGCAGATTATTCTTTTGAAGACATTAGTAACAATTGGGCGGTTCTGTTATAGTGTGCTGTTTTCTTTGCTATTTGTTACATTTTCTTTGTGCCTTATTTTTGTTCTGCCTTTTGTATGCCTAATTTTCATAGGTTGCTATTTCTTTCTTTTTTGTTTTTATTTTTCCTTATTTATGAAAGAATTTGTTTCCCTTTTAAAAAAGAAACAATATGCCAATATTTATTATCTTTCTGAAAAAATACTAATTTTCGTTGATTAATGAAAAGAAGCAAAAATGCTCAAGAACACAAACTCTTGGAAGAGTGAAAAGAACACAGACAAGAGTGAAATAAAAAATGTGACAAAGAAATTTGGAAGAATGAATAAAAGCAACATTTAGGATAATCTTCTTTTTGTTGGCTTTTTCTTATTATGATTGGCAGTATTAGAAATAATTCTGTATCGTTTGTGATCATTTTCACAAATTACAGTTACTTAAAAAGAGGAGTGAATGATCGAGGACGGGTTGCAAATGATGTTGAAACAGAGCAGATTGTCCTTGATGAAGAAGCTGGTTCATGCCGAGGAAAAATGAGTTCTGTTGTGCAGATGCGCGGTTCTATTCCTCTTTTTTGGTCTCAAGAAGCCTCTAAATTTAGCCCCAAGCCAGATATTATCTGTAAGAATTTCATTATCATTATTTTACTCATATATTTGGTTAAATGCCTAAACTGGAATTGCAGTTGTTTTGTTCTTTCTTAAAGAAACAAATTTCATTTGCAAGTGTGGTCTTGTTATGTACTCAAACACAAGAACACAACACAAAATAAAAAGATAACTATGTTGCAATATCAATAGAGAAACTGCAGTATCAATAGCCTTTTGAGAGAGCTATCTCTCTCTCAAGTCTCACAATGGACACGCTCACCAAAATGATCTCCTTCTAAGGTGCTCAACTCCTCTTATTTATAACCAAGACACCACTAGTTAAATTATCCATATGTCCGTACTACTATCATTCTAATCTTACCAATATATCCTTTTTTAGTATTCTCACATTACTCTGCCCTTCAAACACTATCGGATAAAGCTTGCTTGAAATCAGTGTATGTACAAGACAATCCCAAAATTGGGTAACATTTTTTTTCATTGCATACACATACCCTAACCCCATTCTTATGGATAGAATCACACCAAGACGGGTTGGGTTCAGGGTTTAACATATGGAACAACCTGGCCCAAAATACACTTGCATACTTCTCATTCAAAATTACGCCTCTTCATGCAAATCCAGCCCATAAACCAAACTAGGGTTGATGCTGCAACCTTTTCCAATTGCTGACCCCACCACCTAACACTTCTTTTGCGTTAATTTCTCGAGGTTGTAAATGAGGTATTATTCAAATGAAGATTGGTTCAAGATTCAGTCTTACATTATTAGGATGATTTAATATTCTTTGAGTTTTCTTGACAACCAAATATAGTAGGATTAAGCCATTTTCGTGATATGCAAAAGTTGGCCCGGATATTCACGGGTACCAGAAGAAGTTCCACACTATACTATACATTCCTAGGCTTCCAAAACGTGCACTATCAGTATAATTTTCCTGAATACAGGCTTCTTAAACCTAGATTTCCATAACTAGAATCTCTACAGTTTTCCTAAACCATAGCTCAAGATTGCTGAATCAGCACCCTAAATGTAGGTTTCCTAAACCAAGGCATCTTCAACCCAGCGCTTAAAAGGCTTAGACATGAACCCAAGTTTAAGATGTCAAACCTGCGCCCCTACCCAGGTTTGCAGGCCTGTCTCCCAGGGCCCATCAAATTTATAGTCAGGCCAGCATTCTCCATTTCAAACTTATATTTATATTTAGACGCCATGATTTCTTGCCCAGTGGTGATTTGACTGTACTAGAATGCATTGGCAACGTGATATATTGCCCTTCTCTAGTGAGGAAAAAAAGGGTACGGGGTGCAGTATGAGGCATTCTGAAAATGGAAATTGTAGGGAAATTGAGTAAAAGATTGTTTGGATTAGGGATTGTAATCTTTTGACAGGAAACAAAAATTGTGCTGATGAAAACAGGAAAAATAAAAATAAAAATGCTGAAACCTTGTGATTTTTCCTTGTGTTTATCCTTTTTTTTTTATGAACTAGAAAAACTTTTCATATTATCAATTAAAAGGAAATGTTCAGGCAACAAACTCCCACGGAAGAGATGGGAAGGGGAAGAGGTGGAAAAAGAAGGCAAAATATGAACAATCTCAACAAGAAGCATTACAACCACAAAAGGATATTTTTCTTATGTTTATTGCTTTTGACTTTTCAGTACAGCGATATGATCCTACATATCAAGCTACAAAATTGCATTTCGAAGACCTTGCAATGAGATATGGGAATCCAATTATTGTTCTCAATTTAATTAAGGTACGTACTAATATTTTTAATTTTGATCAGAAAGGCACAAATCATGATATATCTTGTTATTAGAGGGGGCAGGTGGTCTGGATAAATTCAGGATTTAATGGTATGAGAAGTTAAATGACCACAAAATCAGTGTGAGAAAAAGAATATATATAATGGGGCTAACCCATGTTGGATCTGGCTTCCTTTTTTGTTAGCCCATGTTCTTTCATTCATGTTGTAAAATTTGAGTATGAGTTGTTCTATGTGCACGTGCATGCATGCATTGGGAGGAATGATAGTTTTTTTTTTTTTTTTTTTTTAAACATGAATAACTTTTCATTGATAGATAAAAATACAAAATGTTCGATGAAACTATGTTCAGTAGGAGAAAAAGAAAAAAACTAAAAACCAGCCAAGAGAAATGGGCCAAAATAATAGCCCCAAAAGAACCTATACCTATAGAGAAACAAGAACCTTTTAGTTTCTTGTTAAGCTTTAATATTTATCGTGGGCTTATTGGGAACATCTGCCCTATTTCTCTAGTATAAAAATGTGAGTTCCCCCTTCTTTAGAACATTAGGAAATAATAGTGAAGTTTTTCATTTGGTTTACTGCAAAATGTGGTATCAGCATCTGAATTCTCTGGGATCAAAATGGATGGAAAAAGGTTATGCCTAATCCAGCAGGGGTGTTGATAAAAACACCCAAAACACCACCTAAATCTTCTCCCCAAAACTACAACGTACGCTTGTTCTTGGTTGTACAATCCTTGAACAACTTACAAGATAGTGTAGGAGGAATGCAATAAATCCTTGGAGTAATGTCTAGACAATTGGAACAAATCACAACAAACAAAAATCTAGAAGGTTGTGGAGCAAGATCGTGACCTTTTTTTATTAGTGCTGGAAAGTGGAAATCTCAGGTGGGGAACATGACGTTTTAGATTTAACTATGACCTTCAATGTGTCTAGTCTGATATATTTTATTTTAACATTGTATTCAGGTCTATCTGTTCTTTTCACTTCTTTTTGGTGGGAGTGAGACTTAATTTGGTATCGAGAAGGTTTTAGAGGATAGTTATAATTGTCATCTTCTTGGATTTGCGTTTGTTTCTGGTTTATTTGTTCCACTGATACTTGCTAAATGCAGACTGTTGAGAAAAGGCCTAGAGAAATGATGCTGAGGCGTGAATTTGCAAGTGCAGTTGGCTATTTGAATCAAATTCTTCCGGAAGAAAATCATCTTCAATTTATCCACTGGGACTTCCATAAATTTGCTAAGAGGTGGTTTGTTTGTTCTAAATATAAAGAACTTTATAATACAGTTTGATTTTATCTGTATGCATTTTTTCGTTTTGATTTAATGCTTTGATTTCTTTCCTGATCATAGCAAGGCTGCAAATGTGTTGGCTGTCTTGGGTGCTGTGGCAAGTGAAGCACTTGACTTGACTGGTTTCTACTACAGTGGTAAGCGCAGTGTTGTGAAGAAAAAATCAAATCAAGTTAGTGGAACAAACACTTCAAGGTATGCTGTACGAACTTTTGTTCATCAGCAGTTTCCTTCCTTTGAAAAGGAAAGGAAACTTTTCATCCCATGGGAGAGGGTTTTTCCTCTTGTTTTTTTTTTTTTTTTTTTTTTTTTTTTTTTTTTTTTTTTTTTTTTTTTTTTTTT